ATTATTAAAAAATATGAATCTTTTTGAATTTTTTGTTTTCGATAGAAATTGCGACCTGAATCCTGTCCGCCGTCCGACAAATGCACATGCGAGATGCATCGGGCCATTGCTTCCCAAGTGCAGAGTATCAAAGATTTCGTATCCAAAAAATGTAATAAATTAATAAAATCCCTCCCAAAAAAATCTTCAAAAAATTTATTTTTTTAAGCTTCTAAAGCAGGCCCCCCTTAAGCTCTATTAACTTTGTTAACGGTTCAGGGCGGAAAATTAATGTAAGGTAAAATGTTATCCCTGAATTCTATTAAGATATCCCTGGTATTATAAACATATGTCATAAAGTCAGTTAAGGGGACGGGAATCAACCAAATGAAAGCCTTGCTCAACAAACAGGATTGCAAAACGATTTTCATGTAGACTTCAAGGTGATATTAACTGAACACCTCGAAGTCTATRGTGTACGGAAAACGGATTTTTTCAGAGGGTGTGAAATAAAAGTTAGTACATGGTAGTAAAGTACAAATTGAGGGAATCCAAACCATTTCCGAAAAAGTCAAATCATCTCTTAAAAATGCCAGACRTGCCAATTAGAGGTGCGCCGTACCACTTCGTCCAACTTGAGTTCTATTTAACWGGACAACGTCGAGTTTTTCTACAAGCGGTGGCTTTCCCACAGGCAATATACAMTGAGTGTGTACCTATGACATATGAAAACTTCTTAAAAAGTCATCTGTTCTTTGCAGGCGCGAACTTGGAACTTTTAAATGACAAAAATTTAGATATCTTCATTTTCGTAACTTTTACGAACAGGACTAAACCCCTCTATTATCTATTCTCTGTATCACTTCGTGCATCTGCTAAAGTTCATCAGTACGAAAAGTTTTATCTCTGCAATACCCGAGACGTCGTCAAGACACCCTCGACAGTTAGTTGCGAAATTTTTCTTATACAAAGTCTTGCATTCGCAAAGATGTTTTCCAKGGTTTGTCCGGAAAGTAATAGGGCTGATTTTCTTCTGCTGCGACTGTATTTCAGAGCGTGCACACACCGATTGGATTCGGTAGAGAGCGTTCTTAGCTAACGAACGAGGGGCTGGTCAGTTGTCTTTGAGCACTTGGAGAGTCAGGACAAACATTTTCGTGCAACGTGTTTCTGTGAGTGGAGTAAGCCAAAAATGCAGCGTTCGTTAGAGCAGAGGATTAAAGCGATTAAATTCTGTGTGAAACTCGGTAAATTTGCGACAGACACGTTTGTTATGATCAAATCCAAAGTGAAAACGATGCTCATTGTCTTTTTTGAATCAAAACGCCTTCGCAGTCACCCTACAGTCCATATGCGCCCCGGATTTGTTTGTTTTCTTACCTGAAAAGGCCGATGAAAGGCAATCAATTTGAGACCACACAGAGGTTCCAAGCAGCATGCAGCTTGATAGCCGCTCAAGACTATTCCGGAGAATGCCTTCCGTGACGCCGTCAATGCTTGGAAATCGCGCTCGCAGCGCTGCATCAACGCAGAAGGAGCCTATTTTGAGAGTTTTTAAAGAATTGTAACTATTGGTTCAATAAATTTTTTTAAATCGACTCAGTTCTATTACTTTCCGGACAAACCTTGTTTAGAGTCCTTTTCTATCTCTTTACGACTTTCACAATATTCGTTACATGGCGTTCCTAATAGTTAAGCAGTGACCTATTAGTATTCTACTACAGATTTATATCATGCCTTTTAAGTTTTAATASTCGGCATGTGCGGCCCATACTGTATTCCATTCATACTACGTTTGCTTGCTTGTTGAACAAGACAGGGATTGATTCTACCGAAACTAAGCTGTATTTTAACATGTTTGTCGACTAAATATYTGTTTATCGCGAAATATGATTTTAGATCCACTGAATGATCAAGGCAATGGTTTCAAAACGATTTTTAGTAATTTTAAAACCGCCTTGCTATCTGTATACAGATATATTCCTTGTTTTGAGTACACTCTTTGTCAGAATATGAGGACTGAGAGACACTGCAGTGGTCTGGTCGACGGAGGACGATTTTGGTATCTAGTTCSATGACATGACATAGCCAGCGTAGCYGCTGTTTTTTAATTCGCTGAACTATGTCAATGTCGCCATATATCTCGTWCAGCTCATCGTTCCATCGTATGCGATATTCACCGTAGCCAAMGYGCAAAGGACCATAAATYTTCCGCAAAACCTTTCTCTCGRAAACTCACAACGTCKACTCATCAGTTGTTGTTATCGTACAAGCCTCTGTACAATATAGGAGGACGGGAAGGAGTGACTTATAGTTTGATTTTTGMTAGTCGAGRGAGGACYTTRCTTYTCAATTGCCTACTCAGTCCGAAGTAGCACCTGTTGGCTAGAGKTATYCTGAGTTGGATTTCCAKGCTGACATTGTTGATGGTGTAGACGAATTATCTACAATTCTAACAATTCCGCTGATGCAAGTACTAACTGCTCTTTGTATTCTCTCCATACGTGTTAACGCCTTTAAACATGAGTTTAAGAAAATTACATTTRGAAGGCGATTAATTTCTGAATAATATATTTTTGTTTAAATTAGAGCAGATTTCTTTTAGTAATGATGACTCGACTTTTGGCGAGTTTATATAATATTTATTTTCGTCAAAATAATTCTTCGGATAATTTTATTATATTTATCCGATGGATAGATTTTTTCGGATTTTAGGATACAATATTATTATAATGAAACACTTATAAACTAAGCTTTAACTTACAATTGAARGTTATAAAACAAAATTATATGTAAAATGATGCGTCACATATTGCATTTAAAAGTTTTAAGCACTAAAGCGTTTTCACTTTAACACATAAAATATTAAAACTTTACTCTTAAATACGATTTTCGAAATCAACAATATCATTCTTAAACATATTCTCTCCCTTGTGAAAACGGTTGATGTGTAAGCGAGTCAGCGAATTCTTTCATTAAATTCGTCGTGATGAAATGTGAGCTRATGTAATTTTGAGGTTATGTGAATATGAAAATATCAATGTATTGGCAGCGCCTCCTGAACAACAATAAAGAATACTTAATTCTAAGACTAATTGCAAGTAAAAAAGTTGTTTATAAAACGATTGCATTTGAAGGATTTTGCTTGCTTTTAGCTTAAATTCGCATTGCCACGCTTCTGCTGTTGTTGCCGACGGTACTAAGAGCCTTTGTTGGCCGCATAGTGTTGCATTTGCTGTTGCTGCTGATGATGCGCATGTGTGGCTGGCAGTGGCGGTGGTAGCGGGGCATGTGMGCGCATTTGTGACATGTGCGCCTGCGGCGCCATGTGCTGGAACATACTGCACTGTTGTTGATGCAAATGATGTGCGTGCGCATGTGCACTCTGGAAGTGGTGTGGCGCAGCAATTATATCGGTGGAAGTGTGTAAAATAATTTCCGGTTCAATTATTGCTAAATCACGATCTTCAGCCATGTTGGTCGGTCGCGGAGCGCGTGGCAACTGAGAGTTCGCAGTAACAGGCGTTGATCTGACCGACGTTTCCGCACTATATTCCTGTTTGATCGGATGGTATTCCTGTTTAATGCCATTGGAGGGATACAAAGAAGCGCCTAGGTTTTGATGTAAAATCGGATGGCATAATTGTGGCATTAGCGACACACCAGCTATTGGGAGTGGGTGGTGGGCGAAATTCGGTGGTGGATAGAGTAGACCTTTATTCAGTTGCGTCATGCGCGTAACCGGTGGCTGTTGGTGTATATTACCACTCACCGCTGAGGCACTTGACACCGCCGCTGCACTAAGCGCTGCGGTGGTTGTGTTAGCAAGACCGTTAGTTGACGACGTATGGCTGGCATTATKGCTAGGTGTGCTCACCCCAACGCTGACACGTTGACGACTGCTATTTTGGGCGGCAGTGCCGGTATCGGGGGGCAACGGATCCGAAATGATAATCTCCGGTTCAACAGGCACTGGTGGTACGTTCACAAATTCGACTTGCAGCGACTCTTCGCTGATAATACCCTTTTTGCGCTCTTTACGTATCTTATCACGTAGTTTCTCCAACTGTCGAAAGGCTTCGTTGGCGCGTCGTGCTTTTTTCCTATCACGATCGCGTTCCTGTTCCATGCGCCGGTACTCGGGGTTGAGTCGCTTCATGCGCTTTCGTTCACGATCGCGTTCGCGCATCAACATCTTATTGCGTGCCTCCTCCTCAGGGGTGAGCTGGAAATAAAAATGAGTTGAGAAAAGATATAATTAATTAAAAATTTTGAGAGAGGACGGAAATCAATCTTCGAAATCTAATTCATATTAACTTATTTGCAGATTGCTTACRCTGCCTTCAGGTTGGCGCATACAATTCGGCAACAACGTCAACTTTATTTTCGAGACCGATGACGTACGACACGCTTCGCCAGCGACCATATCGCGCATGGGCATTGTGAACATGAGGTAATAATTTTGAGATATCTTTACTTTTATATAAACTTAATTTGTCTTACAACAGCGCGGCCGACTTTCCACGTACAGAAATACTGGACTCCATGCTAGGCAGGATAGAGTTTGGCGATTTGCTGCGCAGCTATATTGATGAGCAGTTCAAGCCAGCCGCACAATGGGTCGAAAAGGAGTATCTCTAGTAAGCCTTTCTGAACCAACATATTTTCAAGCCCATATTTATGTAACCTTGTACATCCGCAGCTCTTTACCTGCTCTAGACACATGGAACTTACTAAGCACTCTGCTGCTGATGTTGCGCGACGTACAAAGACGCGATGAGTTCTGTGTAAYATTATGCCGTGCTTTATATGGGTTTCTGCCAACCGAACGCCACAACGAACTAGCCAATTACGTATTTGAACGCGCCAATATTTACATCAGCAATCCGAATCACGCTGAACTGGCCTACTTTGAAAACGAACGCGGCGCGATTGAGTTCTATGAGTCAGAAAACCTACCGTTAGTGGGCGTAAGCGGCGCGGTGCAGCTTATACAAACTGCCGCCGTCAAATCTTATTTGTGTATTTTATGCACCTACTTAAGCGCACCCGCCAACACACCTTTCCTCATTGTGGGCCCCACAGGAGCGGCCAAGACGCTGTTGATGCAGCAGGCTATACAGGAATATGCCGGCTATGATTTAATTRTCATTAATTGTTCGATGCAACTAACACCCGCCTACGTTTTGCATTGCTTGAAGCAGGTAGCTTTACTATATATGTAAATTATTTGGACATTTTATATCCTTTTAACAATTAATATTCTTTACCAGAACTGTGTCGTTGTGAGCAGCCTGCGTGGCCGCGAATTCAAAGCAAGACAAACGCGTGTGGTTTTGTTTCTGAAAAATCTGGATCTCTGTTATTTTGACACTTGGGGCACAAGTGATGTCATGGAACTACTGCTGCARTTGGTGCAACGTGCCGGTTTCTACGCAGACAATTTAGAATGGGTACATGTTAGTGGTGTGCAAATATGTGGCTCGGTCTCACAGGCTACGACGTCGTTAATGAGTGGGGGGCTGCATAAGCTGCCGCCACGTTTTCTGGCGATAAACAAATTCCTGCGCGTCAGTTACCCAACCGACGCAGATATGTTGACAATCGTGCAGAGCCAGTTGGAACCCATAATGGCAAGCGGACACTTTAAAACGGCGGGAATGAACGTGCAGTATGTGGTTGAGGGACTCTTGGAATTATTCAAGAAAGTAAGCTTGCTTATTCGATTATAGTTTATAACAGTAGTTATACAAATAGGGTTTTCTCRTAGTCTCATAAAGTTATAAATTATAACGATCCGAAAACATAGGGTTCAGAGTTGTATTTGCGTAAATTTCTWTTAGTATGYAWGCCAACAACACATTTTTTAAASTAGTACAAAAATTTATGATTTTATGATTTTYCGATGCTTTATGACATGTTGTGAGTACACCAAATATATCCTTTCTTACCGCCCAGGTGCGTGCAACTTTCTCARCTTCGTCTCACGCGTGGGAGCATTACAATTTCAATCCAAAGTTCATAATGAAATTRTTGCACAATCTTAAATATTATCCCGCCGAGGCCTTCAACGAGGTAACGAAGTTAACATGGTATCCAAAAAACCGTTTTTATAACTGTATAATTTTAACTATTTTAGGCTTTATGTGCGGAAGTGATTTCTATATTCGAAGATCGCTTGGCCAGTACGTCAGATGTGCATGAATTTCAGAGTCTCTTCAGACAGACAATGCGTAAATTCTATGGCAGAGAGGTAAGCACACACACAMATAAAGATTTCTATAATGRTGCAATTTCGATTTATAAACACGCTAACTCTATTTTAAACACACAGAAAGTATTCTTCGTGCCCAGGACGACGCAGCACAACGCTGAGCTTTGCGCGCTCGCACACGATGAGTGGTTGGAAGAGTTGCAGAAACAGATAACGATTTGCAGTAAATTTGAATGCATATTCACTCACTTAAACGCCCGTCTGCTAACTAAATTTTTGCTACTTAGATGCCGAGTCCTTCGTGATTGACCAACCGATTACCAGAGAGCTACTTGATTTGACAGCAAAAGTGGCACGAGTRCTAGCGCGTGATGAGACACATCTGCTGATGCTTTCGCGCCCTGGTGGCAGGCATGTGGATGCGCTCTACGCGGCMGCCAAWCTGCAGCAAGCCAAAATTTATATCACACAAGGAGGACCTGGATATGGCATACAAGATTTCTACAATGACTTAAAATTGGTAAAATCAACAAATAATGCTTTGTAATTTCTCACTTATGTAAAACAAAAATCGTACACAGGCCATGCAAACTGCAGCGCTTGAGAATCAATGCACTATACTACTCATAGAGCACTGCTGGATCACGTTTGCGCCGGATATTTTAAAACCAATTGAWGCGCTGCTTGAAGGCAGCGAAATACTGAACTTATTCGGCGAAGATCTGGAATCTATAGCAAGTTCACTTAAGCATGCTGCACAGTTGGAGGGTTTCCAGGAGTCTATAAGCGCCTACTTTTTGAAAAGTACAGCTATTGCCCAAAGTATTTACCTTTTTTGCTTAAAAATAATTTTTAATTACAGAGGCTAAGAAAAATTTGCACCTCATCATCGCGCTGGATCCAGCTAATACCGCGCTTAACGGGTTGTTTAGCAAGTTTCCGGCGCTTTACCGTAACATGGAGTTGTATTTCATACGTGCTCCCTCCACCGAAACGCAGAATCAACTGCCAAAGAAATATATTGAATTGCTTGGCGAGGCTACGGGCAGCAGAGGCGCTGTGCCTGTATTTTCCTACTTTACCGACGCTGTGGAAAGCTTGGTAATGCAGCAGGCACCGAAGCGTTATTATCAACTGATATGCACCTACTATTATATTTACACCAATTTTGCCAAGGACATAAACAAGAGGCTGGTCAAATTACAGGTAAATCCCTCGCCACTAACTTATGCGCTTTAAACAAACTCAAACTAATTTCAATTCATCACAGCATGGCGTTGACAAATTGGCCGCGGCGCACAACGTTGTAGACACGCTCAAATCGAACGCCAGTCAACAAGAGGAGGCGCTCGCTGATAAACGCAAACTGGCCAACGATGCGCTCGAAATGATTTCGGCAACTATGCGTAGTGCCAACGATCAGAAGACCAACATGCTGGAACTGAAGAAGAAGACACAGGAAAGCAGCGAACAACTGAAAGARCGTCAGAAGGAGATACAAAAGGAACTCGCCGAAGTGGAACCCATACTCGCCGAGGCAAGCACAGCAGTGGGTCAGATAAAATCGGAAGCGCTCTCCGAGATACGCTCACTGCGTGCGCCGCCCGAGACTATACGTGACATACTTGAGGGCGTCTTGCGGCTGATGGGTATACGTGATACTTCGTGGAATAGCATGAAGACCTTTCTGGCGAAACGTGGTGTAAAAGAAGATATACGCTCGTTGGATCCGGCACATATAAATCCRGATCATTGTGCCGCTGTAGAGAAGTTATTGGATGCGAAAGCAGAATCCTTTGAGATGAAGAATGCCAAACGCGCTTCTGCCGCTGCGGCACCACTTGCCGCCTGGGTGAAGGCCAGCGTGCGCTACTCGAAGGTCATACAAAGCATACGTCCACTTGAGCGCGAACAAAACGAACTMCAGCGCAACTTAGACGTAGCCGAAGGTGAAATGCAAAGCTTAATGAGCGGCTTAGATGATGTGGACAAACGCGTAAAGCAGTTGTCAGCCAAACTGAATGCTTACACACAGGAAGCAGCAGTGCTGGAGATTAAGTTGGACGATGCGCGTAAAACGCTGCATGCCGCTGAGGTGCTAATTGAGAAACTTAACTCTGAGTTCCATACATGGAGCATCCAGCTGGAGGAATATAAGACATCACATAAAACTCTGGACACCAAATCGCTGTTRATTGCGCTAGCCATCAACTACTTTTCACATCTGACTTTGGAGCGCAGAAGGTAACATTTTATGCATATTTCAGTTGGCAACCACTTTGTTACTATTTCAACAAATTTCAGCTTCAGTATGGATCGCCTACTTGGCGAACTGCAGCTGCGRCCATTTGATCTACGTAAGAGCTTACTCACCGAGCAGGAACAAATTATTTGGGAGAGTATGGGTCTCGCATCTGATGCGCAGATAATCGAAAACGCCGCGTTACTACGTCAAATGGTTGACCTGCCTTATGGCAGCTGCCCCATACCTTTGGTCTTAGACCCGACACAGACAGCCATCAAATGGTTGGAGGAATATTTGCGCTCCAAAGCCAGACCTTACGACATCACTACACAAAATAATGAACGTTTGGGCTACGTGCTTGAACTGGCCGTCCGTTTTGGCAAAGTACTCGTGGTGCAGGATTGTCAACAGATACGTCCGCCACTGCTACAATTATTGCTTGGACGCTTTTTCGTCAAGTTCGGCAAGAAACAGGTAGAAGTGGGCTCAAAAATGATCGATCTACAYGAACAATTTCAGCTTGTACTCTTTACCAAGACTAATAAGTTGAACATTCAACCTGAAACTTTGAGCTATTTGACTTGTATACCTTTTACCGTTACCGCGATTGGCCTAGCGGATCAACTCATGTCAAAAGCAATAGTTTTGAAGAATCCAGAACTGGAACGTAAACGTATAGAATTGTTGAAAAATGAAGGTGTGCTCTTGAAGCAACGCATCGAATTAGAGGACAAACTGCTGGAAGAGCTCTCCACAGCACAAGGTGACATTTTGAAGAATGACATGCTATTGAGCACGCTTAATGAGGTCAAAGAGAGTAGCAATGTCATTGATAAGTCACTTAAGGAAAGTGCGCGTGTGAAGGAGTCACTGCTTTCAGACTTTACGAATCTACGAGGGCTTTGCACACAGTCAGCGAAATTTTACATGGAACTCACTGTAACGTACGAATTGCCAGCCTTAGCGTACATTCAACTATTTCTGAACTCACTGCAGACATTTGAARCTCACAACGCTAGTTCTTCAAGCGAAAAACGAATCTATGAGCAAGTGGTCGCAGCGACTTTTCAATACTTGGCGCGCGCAATATCGCGTACGAGCCATTTAACGTTGGCGTTATATGTGTGTAAGTGCGCCTATCCAGAGCGCATACCAGCCGCTGAATGGGAAATGTTCGTCACGAATTTTATGATSGCAGCTGACGCCAGCATGGGCAGCGCAGWTTTGGGTWCACAAATGCCTGATTAYATGTCGCAAGAAGCAGTACTTAAACTGAGGATTTTGCTGACGCAAGTGCCACAACTAGAAGAGCAGTTGCAATTGCAGAAAGATTACGCCTGGCGCAGTTTCATAGTGGATCAGCTACAGGACATTCCAGGTAGTTATTGGGTATTTCGCGTATCAAGTTTTGCTTTTATTTTAATGCACAACAAATCTGCCTTCTAAATTTTCTAGGGGACATCCAATCCGCCTTTCATCGGGTACTCATCGTGCAGATATTTCGAGCAGACCTTTTGTTCCTGCAGTTACGSCGCACAGCTGTTGAAATATTAGGAATTTCCCCAGATGCTGTGCCACAGCCAACTGTGGATCAACTTGCCGATGAAAACACTGAAAACAAACCCATTCTTGTAATTACACAAACAGAAAATGATCCAGGCACTGAAATTAGGAGTGCTGCGATCAAAAAAATTGGTTTGGAAAAATATACAGAACTTTCCGTTGGGCGTGGTATGGAACGTCGAGCACTAGAAGCTGTGCGACAAGCAGCTGAGGTCGGCARGTGGATATGCATAAAAAATGTGCATCTGGTGCCAGATTGGTTGTCAGATCTGGATCGTGAACTTGAGCTTTTGAAGAAACGTGATGGCTTTCGCTTATGGCTTACTTGTGAATCAACTAGTGGCTTCAATGAGACGATTATGTACAAGTTTGTAAAAATATTGTATGAATTTCCAAACGGTATTAAGCAAAAGGTTCGACGCATGTTACAAAACTTTACGTTAAGTGAATATCGCGGCATTTCGAAGGACGCTAAGCTTGTTAAAATACGAGTTGTGATTTTCATCGTTGCTGCGGTGCTGCAGGAGCGGCGCAAATTCATTCCACAGGGTTGGTCCAAATACTACGAGTTTGGTGAGGCCGATTTGAAAGCTGCAATGGAAATCCTGCTATGGCTGGATAAAACTATGAGCAGCGGTCGTTGTGATTGGACGATTTTGCAACGTTTGTGTGAAAATGTTGCTTTTGGTGGGCGCATAAGCAATGCACGTGATATAAAAGTGTTGCAGCGGTATTTAGAAGAGTTTTGTTCAGCTGAAGTTCTAAGCAATCGTTGGACCACATTAAATACGAAAGTTATTGTACCTACAAGTTCCCAAGTGCTTGATTATATCAGCGCRATTTCGAAATTTCCCGATTCAGATGAACCAGAAGTATTCCACTTGTCAAACTATACAAACATCAATCGTGAAATTGAACATTCTAAGAATATTATTAACGAGTTACGAGCTTCATACTATAAAAAACCAGATAGTGCAGAAGAATCAGTTGAACGTGAGCTGGAAAGCACTGACTTGAATAAATTAGAAAAACAAATTAAACCGATATTGGCACTTTGGAAGAAACTAGCTGTTGTAAGTTCAGAGCGAAATTATAATGAATTGTATACATTATTATCTTTATGCCACAGAAATGTACAATTCAAAAAACTCTCGAGGATATGAATGCTTCTTCGCAACTTGCATCACCATGGCAACTATTCATTGCGACAGAACTAAGAACAGCAGCCAAGTGTTTCCAAGAAGTACACCATACGCTGTCACTCATACATAATTGGCTCAAGGCTGGTTCTAAAAATACCAAAACCGCGGTAGACTTTAATTTATTACAAACCCTGGCGGAAAATCAAGTAATTATAAATAATTTATTTTCCCACTTGTTATGCATTTGTATTTTTCAGATACCAGCCTCTTGGCGACGCTGCTGGTGTGGCCCAACAACAGCAATTGATTACATACGCGGCCTAGTGTTACGTGCACAAGCCGCAGAAGTGCGTTATCGTTCAGACATTCACTTGGAATTTGGCCAGAAAATAGACCTGTCCGCTGTTTTCAATTGCGGCACTTTATTCTCTAGCCTCAAGCTGACAAATTCAGTACAATTGAAAACTTCTTGTAAGGATCTTCAGCTTGTCACCAACGTAGTAAACAACAGTATGGAACACGGTGGACAAGCAGTCGGTTCTATTATTACCATAGCACCGCTGAAGGTAATTAAAATTATTCAACTCTGCACACTTGTTTATTTTGTTTTGGCGTAAACAATTAGAGGACGGTTTTTTTCTGTTGTAGCAGTTTTACTTTTGTTCTCATTTTTCACTCACCTTTCCCATTTTGGCCATAAAATGATACTCCACTTTTAAACAGATTATATATTCCTTTTATAAAAGAAAATATATAGTTTTTAGGCGTTTTGCCTTGAAATTCAAAGAGTTTGCAGATATTTTAACTGGCTGGCCGTCTAGGTTTTGCTTTTGATTGACAGTTCGGCAAATTGGATGACAATTATTGTAATAGATTATTTTTTTTTACTTATGTTGCCACACTTGTAAACACTAAAAATTTTATAACATCTATTTTATTTACATATATTACATATTGCAAAGCTTGTAGAAAATGTAAAACAAAAAATTCAAATATTCCTCTCATAATTTTTTAGGTGGATGGTGCAGTTTTCACATATGGAAAACTTACAATAAAAGCAAATGCAGATAGTCGATCACTGGATCATAGATCTCCTGAAATTTCATTTACCTTTACACCCTACACCAGTGCTGAGGACAAAACGACTGTACAAAAACCAGCTGCTGGTTTTCTGAAATTACCTCTGTACTCAAATGTTAGTCGTGAAAAGTTGCTCTGTTTGGTGGACACTCCAACCACCGAAGCTGCGGATTTGGTGTTACTATCCGGAGCAGCACTCATTGTTCCTGATTTCTAGGAATAAACGAAAATATTTTTCTTTAATTACTTTCAAATATTTAAGTTATTGTTAGTGGGCTTATTACCATCAATATAATAAATTAACATTGAGAATTAGTATAAAACATTTCTCATTTCAATAAATAAGTATCGAATGTATTTTTTTCATGAATCCGGCTTCTCCAGTCGTAAGATGTTTCTATATAAAATGTGTCAAAATGCATATTACGAATGGACATCGAGATATCGGCATCAGTGTAAGAGATTGGAAGGATTCGGAGCAGCTAATTATTTTTCATTTTTTAATATTTATAGCTACATATATCCAAAACCATCTAAATGTATAGAAAAGCTTGCCACCGTGGTAGAATTAGCGAACCTTCCCATCTTTACCGCAATTACGAGAAATTCTTGTAGTATACGTGAACGTAAAAACACGATGTTTTCAAATACGTTCTTACGTGTATATACGGTCACAAGAAAGAAGGTTTACAGACAACAGACATTTCAATACGGGGAAATAACTACATATGTTAAATTCTCGTAGGAATATTTGTGGTGAATTGTTCAATTTACATACATACAGTGGGTTCATGTCTGGAATATGAAAATGTTCTCCGTTAATTCACAATAGTATTGTTTTATTACTTCAAATGCAATAACATAAAACGGATTCGTTTGATTTTAAACATAACAAGGATGTATCGGAACAGGGAAAACGAGGTTTACCCTCCCTTTAAAGAAATATATTTCAATAAGATGTGAAATTTGTTGTTGGATAGTTGGATAGGAAAAGACCCACCAGAAATAGGCTAATGAGACAAATCTAGAAAAGAAAATTGTATAATTCAACACTTCAGGTTTGTCGAGTTCTGAGTTATTGTCAAGAACCTATAGTAATCATTAAGAGTAATATAAAAAATCTAGGGTATTAGAGCTTGCAGTTCTGCTTATCTTTTCTGAGGAATTTTTCTTCATTTGTCACCTCCGACGCAGAGGTTAATCGTAACTCTTGGGCCAGAGTTGTATTTGGCAATAAAATTGTTATAAAAAATAACGTTTGACACTGTGTAATAGGGGTCTTTAATAGTTCTCACAAAATACTTAGTAGAACCTACTACATAACATAATCTAGAAATTCCTCTGTTACATTGTGCCAATGGGTGATATCGGATCACAAGATCTCAAATCTAAAGACTGTAAAAATAGGACTATAACATTTCAGATATCCCAGATATCGCATATGTGGACCTCAGTGCCTATGGCTAACTAAAATATAAGTCAATCAGCGACCCGAACTTTGTTCTTTCTTACTTGTCCTTTTGCAGTTGGGCTATATACTTTGTTAAATTAAAGACTGTCTGAGTTTTAAGAAGCTTAGTTAAGTTTCGTCCATGGTGTACAGACATTTAGACATCTGTACGCAAAGCTCTAATAGAGAGAGCGGCAGTGAATTGGGGACTTTGTGTTTTATCTGTTAAAAACACGATTAGTAGCCATCTACGTAGCTTTGGGTTTCCTTTCTTGGTTAAAATTTTTATATTTGACGTCGTTAAACCTCAGACTGTTGTCGGAGATTCAAAGTGAAATTCGGAAAAGGSATCATAGAGGCATGTGTTACTTATAGTCGCAAATTGTTGAAGTTTAACCTGCTRTAGTACGGATATTTGTTTTTACTAATTGGACACTGTTAATGCGTATATGTTTARAGTTGTTAAATTTAATTGTTTCAGTAAAAAATGTGCTCATTTGTTGGCACTACAGCTCTTGGGCCGATACACTTTTTAGCTTATGTGTTTTGCGGTGAGCATGATAAGTAGGTTATGGTGCATCTGCAATCAAAAAACATTTTTTTAAGTTTATATCATAACGCCATACTTGAATAAAGGATTTGGCGAAAAAAACATTTTTTCACTTTTTTCATTTCCAAAAAAAAACTGTTGTTTGAATTAAAAAAACAACATCGTTCAAGTATGAGATATTGTAGTTTTTAAGTAGAAAGTAAAATATTAAATCGATAGGTCACATGGTTTTTGAGAAATCTTGTTCACCGCAACTGTCTTAAAAACAAAAAAAAAAAAAAAAAAAAAAAAAAAAAAAAAAAAAAAAAAAAAAAAACGTCATCGGCACGTAAATTTAAAAGAAATAATCTTTAAAGGATATACTTTACGAAAATGCAGTAAACAAAATATCGATTTTCCAACCCACACAAGTATATTTAATCTCTCAATGACTACGATTTAGGAGCATGTACCATGTGCGGTTCGTGGTGGGAGAAGGACTTCGGTGTCGAGTTCTGGCATGGATGAACATCTAGCCGCAATCCACTTCGCAAGCGAAGTTCAAACACACAGGTTTGACGTCGAGAAGCTGCAATCACAACAGACAGCCTAACGATTTTCTACTCGCTTTGCACTCCTGACCTCTGAGAGYACTCGTCCCAGTGGGATAAGTTACCTCAACATCGCACATAAGGTTTTATCGCTTTAGAGCKGGAAAACCAACAACTGATCAGATATTCATCATGCGYCAAATTTTGGAAAATACTCGCGAAAAAAGTATCGATAYGCAGTACCTTTACGTCGGTTTTAAAGCTGGTTTTGGCAGCAAGGAAAGAAKCTGCCTTTATGCCACTATCACTCAAAAACCAACGCCGAATAACTGCCAACAGGTGCTACTTCGGACTGAGTAGGCAATTGAGAAGTTAAGTCCTCTTTCCACGAACAAACACCGAACTCTACAAGTCATCACTCATCATTCCCGTCTTGCTATATGGTGCAGAGGTATGGAGGATGACAACATCCGATGAGTCGACGTTACGCGTTTTCGAGAGAAAGGTCGATAGAACGATGAGCTGCAGGAGATAGGAGCTACGCTAGCTAGGTCATGTCGTCCGAACGCCTGATACGCTGTTGTAAACTCGGCAATAACCGCAGAAGCGGTGTCTACGACAATAAAGAATAAATAAAAATAGAAAACCGAGCTGGATTATCGGCGAAGATTTTAATTCGGAGGTTCTTCGAGGTTTGTACTCAATGTCATCAACTTGCTTATTGATGTAAGATGTGTTAAATTTTGGTTACCTCACACCTAACGTTGTGAAATGGGTTAGTAACAGACACTCAAAGTTAAGTTTAAAGCCATATTTTTGCATCTAAGAGAGAGGATATGTAGTATCCTTTGTAAAGTTCAATATTAAATGAAAATAAATGTAACTTTTGCAATAACTACTAGTAGTATTGAGTACTCGTATATGTATGTATATAAGTATTTCATAGTTAAGTATATGTTTGATGCTTTAAATATTTTAAAACCGGAAACAACTTTAATCTCATTTAATTCTTTATCGGTATTTAAGTGAATAAACTCACCACAATTATTTTCGTTTTCGCTCAAATTAGTCGCTTAAACTTCAATGCCAAATACAATTATGGCCACTTTGACTTGGTCAACGGTTTTCTGCGTAGATTAATTTAAACGAGTGTCATTAAACATAGACAGTCGCGTGAAAATTATTTCACATACAAGCTTAGGTACTCATAACTGTAAATTACAAATTTACATATGTAAACCTAACTCCTTCTCTGTGTGCTTACATAAATCCGCGTATGATGTGGAATGCGAATGACAGGTGCTCTTACTCAACCTCTCAGAGTTACAAACTTATGCTTGCACAGAAGGAATGTTTGTTGTACGAGTAAAGCACATATCATCGCTGAGTTGTGGATTAACCKTTTCGCCTATGCCATCATTGAATTTTAAACGAAATCACTAATTATTGGCGSGTCCGCAATTCAGACGTAATGTCAGCATTAAGTTAGCACACCGTAACGGCATATTGTGGACATTGAAGATGTCTTTAGAAACTAGTAATCTCTATCCGAATTGAAGTACGCCTATAGGAACATTGGTCATTAACACATAGCCACACATATGAGAATCTACAAACCCAAAAACTCAACCTCATTCTATTTTCAATTGACTTTAGGAAAATGTTATACAATTTTTTTCTGAATTGTTTGAATATTATTTTGTGTCTTCTACTGTTTTGAAGTAGTTATGAAGTTCGAAGCGACATCGCTTCGCTCTATAGTTTCTTGAAAACTTCCAAGAAGATCTGATGTTCTTAAGACAAATTTTGTTCAGCGATGAGATCCATTTGCAATTTCACTCAGAAAAAGCACGGTTTGGTTTGTGGTTTCTTTAAAAATAATATCGGTGAGAACGCACCTGTCAATGGCTACGAGGTCTGACCGGAGACTTAATTCTGGTACCACGGGGAGCAGGAGCCCTTGGAGGTAACTCCAACCTGCTCATGCGGACTGGCCCCTCGGGGAGTATCGTGGT